ATGATGATGATGATGATGATGATGATGATGACGCTTCTGATGGAGAACAAGCCGCCTGGTCGTATTTGGCATGTCTAATGAAGAACGAGGTCGGCTAACAGACCGACATGGCAGTCGAAGAAGCTACAAACTGGTTAGAAAGACGAAAGACAAAATTATAGTGAAAATACGAGAATAATTTAGTTTTTACAGCCAAATTTGTCAATTTCAACGGTCTCCGGGCCCAATCGAGGCATCACTAATTGTTGTGCTCCCTACAGCATCGCGAAAGCACACAAATATTCATACTTTCTTATAGTTGAATGGTCAAATTAATGGCTTCTAATGGAGATGATGAAATTAGTCATCTCCTCCGCTCCGCTGCTCAAAATGTGTTAATAGGCTTCGATAATGCCCTTGAGACATGGTTGTTGTGAAATCTATTGTTTTGTGCAAAAGTGTGTGTGATGAAGAGAGATTTGTCGATCGGTACAATAGGAAGATGGCGGCCGATTTGCGTTGCTCAGCCGTCATTTGACTTGATTGACGCCGACCAACAGACATTCTTCCTCGGTTCTGGTGCCAACGAGCTGAGCTTATGTCCATCATATGACAGAGATCGCCGGCGCTTCATCTCATGCTTAATAAAGCTACGAATTAACATCAAGCCAAGAAACCCAACCGGCTGTATATATACTCAAAGCCAAAATAGTAATGGGAATATGTAGATAGACACAGAAAAAAAAAATATAATTATATGGCTTGCTTTCTTCACGTTAAACTATACGTCCTTATTGAACTTGTTTGATCTCATTTCCGGCATAAACAGGCTTCGAGGCTATCGGTACTTTTGGAATAAAAATCAAGTCTGCCTAGGCACCTTAACACTATGAAATGAGTGCATTTGCATCTATGCCAAAAGTGCCCGAATTTCATACTCTTTTTATCACCAAATTTGTCTCCATTTTCAAAATTACTAGCAAACAGCAAGGCCTTGTAAGTAAAATTATGAATAGATGGCAAATTATGAAGTGTCGATCTACACAAACGAGAGTAAACATTACAAGTTTAGCTAGTGAGTCCAGGGTTCAAGGGTTCCCTGTTTTTTGGTGATGCAAAGCCAGCGTTAGATTGAGCATCTCAACTGATTTAGGCCAGCCTTTTGCACTCAAACCAAATAGAAGACATCAAATGTGGACTCGTATAACCACCATGCACTCTAAAATTATCTGATATTTTGGAGCACTACTTTATTCGTCATAAGTAGTATCAATTTCCCAAGGAAATATAATAAGTTATATATATATATATATATACATTTTAATATAATATAATAGGTCTATGCTGTTGTTTTTGTCTTAGACGAGGCAACTCACGACTCGCATGGGTCAGTTTCGAATCCAATTTGGGGTGGTTGCTTTCATGTATTGTCTTTTGAGGAATAAGATTCTGCGTGCACACTCAATTATCCTGCAGTCACCAA